AGAGAAATGAACAACTTTGTCTCAAACCTGCTATTAAGAAATCAAAATTAGAGAAGCCTTCACGTTTGAAAGAACCTATTATTCAGTTTTCATATGTTTCAAGGAAAAGCATGCAATTGAATGAGTTCCTATTCCATTGTTCCGATGATAATTTTTTCCATTTATTTACTCTAGCGTTCTCAAGTTTGATGTCCAAACTTTACGCCCTGGATCTGATGTCTCAAACAATATTGTTGATGTTTTTGGTACTTACTTGAATAGATCTGAGTTGAAAAGAAGGAGTGTGTATCAATGTCCAAATTTTTTTTGTCGTCTAATATGGGTGTCAGTGTATAATTATGTTTGCTTAATATTTTAAGTGAAAATGCTTATTGCTTATTTTTTATATGCTAACATATGGAATCCAGAACACTTATGGTAGAAATTAAGTAAAAATATACTTGTTGCATGTAGTATATAGTTGGTATTAAGATTCAAAATAATTTTTCTTGTAGAAGTGAGAATGAGTAGATTAATGATTGAGAACGGAAATTTAAAGCAGACTATATTGGAGATGATTGGAGTGAGTCCCTAATGTAAGTGTGCTTTTAATGTGTATAAAGAATGAAGAGTTTATATATTTAAGATGATGAATTAGTACATTCTGAAATGCTAAATATTTATACGAAGCGCCTCCACAAGTGAGACAACCAGACATCCATAGTTGTGGAATCTTCTCGATATTTTACATGGAAAATTAGCTCCTTCATTGAGTAGGAGTATATGTGAACAACTTGGCAAACGTGAGATTTTGGATAAAATGAGGAAGAAATTTTATGTGCAAATTTTATTGCATGAGAAGAATCAAAGGGTTGAGTATGTGAGAGGGAAGTCGAAGCTTGCTACGGGTGATAAAAATTCATTTGAAAAAATTGTTGATGTTAAACCAAAGAAACAACGTGTTTTAGATGTGTGCAAGAAAACGTGTTGATTGGTTAAGAAAAAATTGATTGTGATATATGTGATGAATTGACTGAATTGTTGCATGATATAGATTGAATCTATTGTTGCATGTGATAGATTAAATATATGGATTGAATGTGAATAAATTGATGAATATGATGGATTGAATATATTGATTGAATGTGAATGAATTGTTGAATGTAATGGATTGGATAGATGGATAGACATGAAATTTAGATACTTTTATTCATCGTTTGACAAAATTGCTCATAACTCTTTTGTGATTTTGAAACTCAGCGTAAATCTTCTTTATACTTTGAAGATTGCATGATGTTCTCTTATACTTTTAAAAAAATGTTGCATGAAACACCTTTTTACATTTTTCTGTGATGATAAGATGATTTTCTATCTATATTTTTTGCATGTCGGGGTTTTATGCAATATTTTTGAAAGTATAAGGGGGTGTTATGCAATTTTTAAGATATAAAGAGGATTTACACTGAATTTCGAAACCGTAGGAAGTTATGAGAAAATTTTTCCTTCATTATTTTGATAAGTTTGTGGAAAGCAAGCGTAGGCATTAAAAATTAAATGTCTAAATTAAATTAAATATCATGTATTTTGGAAGAAAATAAAATTCCAATAAAATAAATATATGGTATTTATATGCACATATGTTAAATTTTGTACAATAAATATCAACCATTAATGCAAAAATCTGTTTAGAATGGAAGATATCGTACAAATATTACGTGCATAAATAGAGTCATAATAAATTTGGCAGCAAAATAAATTAATCTTGTCAATAAAAAATATATAAATTAATATCTTCCAAAAAAGAAAATGATATAAAGATCTTGACAAGATAGGAAGGCGGAAAATCAAATCCTTCAAAAATGGAAAACAGCATATGATGGAAAAGGAAAGATTATAAAATCTTCCTATTGGTCAATCAGAACGCGCCATGTGGCATCATTCTTAAATGAAGCCGAGGTCACCCATCCCCTATAAATAGGAGTCATGGTCAATTCATTTGACACACCGAAGTTATATCGAGGATTCAAGCAAAGGGGTAAGTCTCTAGACTCTCTCTGTATTGTTCTTCATATTTTTTCGTGTCCTTCGAATCATTCTTTGTCGAAAGTCACTGATTTGAACAAATGATCTAATATTGGTTGATGAATCGATAGAGTTAACGTTCTTCGTCGTATGTCCAAGCCGGAGAAAGGATCAAAGCTCCCAAAGTTGTTGAGGAATTCATCAAAGCCAAGGGATGGTCTCCAAAGTTCCTCTCAAAACTTCAAGATGTTCATCGCGTCCTTCAACAAAGCATCAACTAGGCCTTCTTTGATCCAAAAGTCAAAGGGACACATTGCCAAAAGTGTTATGGAGCACCAAATCCACCTCTTCAAGGATCAAAGCTCCAAAAGTCGTTGAAGAATCCATCAAAGCCAACGAAGAATATCCAAAGTTCACCCCAAAGCTTCAAGGTGTTCATCGTGTTCTTCAAGAAAGCATCAACTAGGCCCTCTTCGATCCAAAAGTCAAAGAGACACGCCGCCAAAAGTGTTATAGAGTACCAAATCCACCTCTTTCGAGGATCAAAACTCCAACAACCATTGAAGAATCCATCAAAGTCAAGGAAGAGCATCCAAAGTTCATCCCAAAGCTTCGAGGTGTTCATCGCGTTCTTCACCAAAGCATCACCTCGGCCCTCTTCGATCCAAAAGTCAAAGGAACACGCCACCAAAAGTGTTATGAAGCACCAAATTCATCTCCTCAAAGATCAAAGCCGCGGATCATCCAAATGAGACATCAAATCCAAAGCCGATGATCGAATCGCCCAAACGGAGACCAAAGTCCTCCAAAAGCGGCAAAGCCAAATCAAAGATCAAAGTCACGGATCGTCTAAAGAAGACGTCAAATCCAAAGCTGATGATCAAATCGCCCACACGGAGACCAAAGTCCTCCAAATACAGCAAAGACAATCCAAAGATCAAAGCCTCCGATCGTCTAAAGAAGACAGCAAGTCTAAAGCCGACGATCGAATCGCCCACATGGAGATCAAAGCTCTCCAAAAAACGGCAAAGCTATATCAAAGATCAAAACCTCGGATCGTCCAAAGAAGACATCAAATCCAAAGCTAATGATCAAATCGTCCACACAGAGACCAAAGTCCTCCAAATGCGGCAAAGACAAACCAAAGATCAAAGCCTCGGATCGTCTAAAGAAGACATCAAATCCAAAGGTGATGATCAAATCGCCTACACGGAGACCAAAGTCCTCCAAAAGCGGCAAAGAAAAACCAAAGATCAAAGCCGCAGATCGTCCAAAGAAGACATCAAATCCAAATCAAATGATAAAATTGCCTACACGGAGACCAAAGCTCTCCAAAAAGCGGCAAAGCCAAATCAAAGATCAAAGACTCGGATCGTCCAAAGAGGACATCAAATCCAAAGCTGACGATCAAATTGCCTACACGGAGACCAAAGTCCGGCAAAGTCAAACCGAAGACCAAATCTCTTCGAATCAAAGAAGCCATCAAAAACCAAGCTGAAAAACAAATCGACCCGAAAAAGAGAATGAAAAGACCTATTTAGATAATATGATTCACATTAAATTCAAATCAAATATAATTTGTACAAATCTTGTGTTTATTAAAAATAACGCAATTTTTTGCCTACAACAAGTTTAGAATGTCTTTTTTGTAAAATTTTATTGTGAATTGTATTAAACATAATGACGAATTAAATTGTGTAAAATTATATTTGGATATTCTTTTTAAATGATTATTATAAAAAGTGGATATGTTATTATCAGTCTAACAATATGCTAATGATAACACAATAATTTTTTTTCTTTTTTACTTTTAGAATAACACATATTGTTGTTGAAGTTGTTGAAGATAACAATAAGTACTATTGTTTGTAGGTAATGAAATATTTTGTTCAATATATGTATTTGTTGCCTATTGAATTTAAAATATTTTCACACAAACTAGTAAATACTACTGAGTTTTGTATTATTATTTTTTTTATAACGTGGGAACCCACCCCGACCGAACCTAATAATTGCAAATTTGGCGCAACAAGGCAAGTCACATCTAAGTTTGAATCTATGCCCTCACGGTCATGAGTCCATTTCCACACCACCAAGCATCTTTTGTACTTGAGTTTTGTATTTAATTTCATTAAGTGATATAATATAATATGAAATGTCTCCATGAACATGTAACTGTTTAACTAAATTGAACGGAATATTAATTTATTTTAATACAAAAACGATTGCTAATATATATTATCTAAATTCTTAACATATGAAAACAAGTTTCTAATACTTTGATCAATATCCAAATCTTGAAAAATTATAAAAACAATCAGATTCACACAATTTCACATATTATTTTTCAAATCTTTTTAGGCATTCAATAATTCTCTCTACTTTTCTAACATTGATTAATATACAGGTTTACATAATTTCATAAAATCCAATATATTATCCCGACTTTAATTACATAGTTGGGTGATTTCGACTTCGTCATTCGGTACGAAGGAAGTGAAATATCTTAAATTTCAATCACTTTGATATCTCTGTTGTGCATTGATTAAAAAAAAGAAAAATAGTTATATAAAAGAAAACTAATTAAATTATATTCGTATTCCTAAAATAATACAGATCGTCAGATCAATTGTTTCAATCCAAATAATACTCCCTCCGTCTTTTAATAATATATTTATTTTCTATTTTGATTCATCTATTTACAATATATTCATTTTTTTTATAATTGTATTATCTACTTGTGTTTCAATTTACAATATATTACAATACTAATATTACAAATAGTCTTTCATTACTTTTATAATTCATTTATATCATTCAATATTAATAGGATTAATTTAATCTCTTGTATTTCAATATAATACTAATATTTCAAAAATTTAATAAAAAATAAATGATAAATAAATATTGGACGGAGCGATGGAGGGACGGACAAGTGTGTGAAGCAATGCAGATAATAACCTTTCTATTTCTTTTCTGGTGTGATACTGATACGATACGCATTCTGCATTCATATACATACATGAAACAACATGTGGTGCATATAAAAAAAGACCACAGAAATAGAGGGAGAGAGAAAGGAAGAAGAAGATAACAACTACATCCACAGAAAACACACACAGGAAGCTTGATCGATCCATCATTCTTCATTCAACCCCTCAAAGAAAAGAAAGTCTAGGGCTGAAATCAAGTAATTGATTGGAGGAAGGGAGAGAGATGGGAACAGTGGTTCAGTGCATCTCCTGCCGCCTTCCATTGATGAGCAACAATCAGCAGCAGCAGAAGCAGAAGCACAGAGCTCCCCATCAAGAAACTGCTGCTGAGGAAAGATGGAGATTAAACAGGAGGGCAATTTTGGCATCTGGGACTGGGGGGATTATTGCTTCTGTCGGACTCGGAGAGGGAATGGGCATGGCATTGGCAGTGGTCAAACAGGGCCTTCTGGCAGGGAGGATACCAGGCTTGTCCGAACCTGATGAACAAGGCTGGAGAACCTACAGGAGGCCCGACGATAAGTCCGGAGGTCACGGCGTCGGATGGAGTCCCATCATACCCTATCAATTCTCCGTCCCTGACGAATGGGATGAGGTCAGAATCAATTTTCACTATCCCCGGTTGCTCACGTCACGTCACGTCACCATTCTTTCTTTCACAGCTTCCTGTGTCGATTGCTGACCTTGGAGGCACAGAGATCGATCTGAGGTTCGCTAGCCCTAAGGAGGGGAGGCTCTTTGTCATCGTCGCCCCTGTTTTAAGATTCGCAGACAGTGAGGATCGATAGACCAGTCTAGTCATGTTATGTAGTTTCCATTAACGTCTTACATACTACTAAGACACTAACTAACATACTAACCAACTTACTTACTGATCGAGTTGATCGGCTTGGTAATGAATGCAAACAGATCTAGGTGAGGATGCAAGAATCGAACAGATAGGGACTCCCGAGAAAGTGATCAATGCATTCGGCCCCGAGGTGATCGGGGAGAGCGTCGAAGGGAAGGTGCTGAGCACCGCAGTAGCTGCCGACCACTCTGGGAGGAAATATTACAAGTATGAAATAGAGCCGCCCCATGTTCTTATCACAGCAACCGCTGCCGGAAATCGACTCTACTTGTTCAACGTTACAGGGAGCGGTCTTCAATGGAAGAAACACTACAAGGACTTGAAGAAGATACAAGACTCATTTCGTGTAATCTAAAGATGATAGATATTGTATTGTGTCGTAAAGCAGCAGATCATGTAAGATTTGAGGTATATATAATTTTGTACGCCATAGCGCACAAGTCCAAAAGCTTAAAGAACACATTTCTGATCACAATACACATCACGACCTTAGAGTAAAGCAATTTGAAAAGTATAAATGAAAATATCCGACAAATTATTCACAAGAATCACAGAACCGACTCATAAACCTCAGCACACGATTTCCATCAAGCTACTTGAGATTGCATGACAAATCAATGAAATCATCTTATCCAGGCTACTTGAGTCAGGAAGCAATTAACAGTAACTTGTGGGAGTTTAGTAAACCAAGCAGGATTTCTACAGCTTTAGATGGATCTAGAAGCTTCTTAAGCATTCCCTTCTCTGAAACATGGTATTTCAACTAGTCGATAGAAAGAACTCACGCTTACTATACATTACACATGATGGTCTTTAAGTGCATTGCTCTGAAAGTACCTCATCACTGTCTTGAATCTTCAGCCTCGGCACAATTTGTAGCTTCGCAAGGTAGAAAATCTGTTCAGTGCTATCCGTGTGCAGCAGCTCCACCGAGATACAGCTACCATTAATGCAACTCATGAAGCAGGGCAGTCAAGGACCGAAAACAAGCTCCTTCAATGAAGCAACCGGGGAACTGAGTCCATGAGCTTGCTTATCTTTCCAAAACGCCAGTCCTGAGACAACATGAATCAGCAAAGTGCAATTGTGCAAAGAATTCCGCGAAAGAAAGATGTTGAATTAAACAAATTCCATTCTATATGCCTAAATGAGAGGCACAAAACATTATATGTACCTATCCATGCGAGAAAGCCGAGGGTTGAAGCCCAGAAGAACTCTTTTGTGATACAGTTGAAACTGGAGCACAACAGACTAAATGTGAGACAGAGAAACTGACAAAAACTTAGACAGAGTGTACACCTATGTGTAATTTACCAGTACAAGCATACAAGATTCCCCCATCCATAGAAGATGGATCCCCAGCTTGATCCAGTGAACCTGCAAGGGATCATAGTTAATTGCTTTCAAGAAATTTCTTACGAATTGTAGAAGGAAACTAACTAACCACATAAAATCGCGAATGAACAGAGAACGAGGGATAAAGAGTCCGTTTCCAGTCATGGCAAGTAACATCGAGACAGCTGATAAACCTTTTACGTTGTCAGGATTCAGAAGATTTGTCCACTGAAAAGAGAGAATCAGCCCCAATAGTAAGAAACCGTGGACAAACCATGATGAAAGTAGTATATCTTCAAAGATGAGACACATAACCATTTGAGCAACAGCCATCCACATGAAAAGAAGAGTTGCAGTCCATCCCGATACCATTCCAAGAAATTTTACAGCTTTTTCGGAGAGCTTGCCCATGCGAGCCTGAAGAAGTTAACATGCATATTTAGAAATATGTCAATTACAGGATTTTTCTTCACATATTCTGTGAAGTTGAGAAAGTTCCAATTATCTCCGGCAAACTAGTAATCAGGTATGCAGTGCTCACCATAACAACAGCAAGAAGAGCAGTAGCAAAGGAAATTGTCCCGGGTAAGATAGTGTTCGGGACGAAGGGGAGGAAGGTCGACCACATGACCTGAACAAAAGCAGTTCATTAAAGCCATCAAAAGAATTGTGCTATTTAAAAATCACACTTCTTGAATTGAAATTTTACTTGAGGAAGTGTGGAGAGTCCGACTACTGTAATAACATCTTCCCAAATGTGCCAAATCTCCTCATTAAGCAAACGAAAATATTTCATAAAATTTAGAATGAGCCCGAAGGCAACCACTATAGAAACAACAATAAACTGAGGGAGGGGCATAGCTTCACCCATCGCCAGCTGCAGCAAAACAATATATGTAGATATGACTCCTACAGTCTGCACCACCATGGCCTCTATCTCCATCTTTTTGAGAAAGTACAATGACAAAGAAAGATTCCCTAGCAATCCAGTGAGCATACCCTATGTTCAAATAACACCACTCATGCTATGTCTAGCGAATACAAACCGTAAAGAGATAATAAAAGATGACTGAACTCCACTACCAGCCAAGGAACAGCTAGAAGTGCAGATTTGTTCCCAGCCAGAAGATTCCGAGTATTCAATATGATCTGAGGCAGCTGCAACAACAGAAATGGTACATTTGCAGCTCCAGCAAACTTTGCTGTCATTGAATCCCATTGCTCAAAACTTTCACCTCTTTGAGAATGTGCGGGTTCCTTCATCGTATTTTATTATTTGTCATTAGCAATGGTGTAAACAATTATGAATTGAAACTATTAAGTTGAATCTCAAGCAATGTTACCTGACTAATAGGATTTGCATCTTCTGAGCTTAGACAAGAAACTGTTTTCAGCCTATGAAAGCAGACAGACTGGCCAGAGAAGTGCGACGCCTTCAAGTGATGTTTATCAGTGAAACTTCGTCTCAAATTTATCTGAGAACAGGATACCGACTCTAACCTCTTCTGACTAGAGCAAAAAGAGAACCTGTCTGATACTTGATAAGTGTTCAGTGGAAACCCACCCAAGAGCCACAAAGAACCCCCCATTGGAGCACTAAGAAAGTGAAGAAATTACAAGTCTTCACCTACTGTCATTCAAACTTGAGGATCTGACATAAGCAGAAAATTCATGATTTCCAAACTTCAGTACATTTTAAGATTTAAATGGCAAAAAAATTTCCTTGCAGAGTATTAGAAAATCACAAAATGCGAACATCTTAAGTAAGCATTATTATCTGCCCTGAAAATGGTAGTCTCCACACAAAAGACATGGAAACTCAGTTTACATAGCAACTTTCATTCATTTGGCTCCTTTTTTGAAACCAACATATCAAATAAATATTTTCCTAACAAAACAGATACTAAACTTTCTACTTTTTCGAAACTTCCAAAATTACAAAAGTCTCCAAAACCCACTGTCTAAAAGGATCTTGGCAATAGGGAGTCAAATTCCAGCACTAATATTGCTATATACTCATAAGAAACTTTGAAAACAACAGCAAAAAGAGTTCACTTGATTCCTTCCACATTCTCGAATGCAACAGAAAGTAATAAGATAAGCCTCGGAACAAACTTCTCCATTGCACAAGTAAAACTCAAACAGAAGCAGTGTAAGTTCTGAAATTTATCTCAAAAGCACAAATTCCATTTAATTTCTCAGGCAATCAATAATACCCATCTCTACAGCCTTTCCCGATCACACACCAACTAAGAACAAAGTCAAAAACCAAACATACTGTAAATGAACGAAACTTCCCACCACAAATACATGAAGAATGAGTCTCCAATGCAGCGTGAAGCATAAATCTCTGAAATTATATCCAAAATTGAATTTAGTTTCTTGTGAGAGTGAGCGAATCGAGAATGGTGAATAAAAATGATAATTCGAAATGAGGAATTGGCGTATGGGGATGGCAGGTTCACTGTAGCGATGCTCACCCAGCTCGTTAAACAAATGGGTGCACGTACGTACCTACAGTGAAAGGGAAGGGAGGCAGCTCAGCAATTCCTTGTGCAACAAAATAATATCTTATTCTTATGGGGATCCACGATATTTATATGTTTGTTTTTTGGGCTGCGGAAGGGGAAGAAGAAGAACTCCAATTTTTAATTTCCAGAAATGCCCTCGATCTGATCATCCATGTGCAAGTGCAATGCACACAGCCACAAATGAATCCGATTGGAATTTATATTCCAATTATTATATTTATTAAAATGGATATTTGTTTATCTTATTATTCTTTCAGAATAAATCCTCCTTCTGTCCCGAGGTTGTCATTTTGATTTTTTTCGTTTATTTGAAAAATATTTTTATATTTAAATAATTTACTTTAAAAATAAAATTTTTTTTTTTTATTTGTACTACAGTCTTATATAATAATTAATATTTAAAAAGGAGGGAAGATTTGTTTAAAGGTTTGTATTTTACAATTTTAAATTTAGGTGCGTTTGGTTGAACGGAGGAATTAGGGTCGAGAACAGTAAGAATAACTTATTTTTTATTTTGATTTTGTTATATTTTTTATTTTAGTTTTGTTCTAGTTGAACTGTTGATTAGAGACACTATATTTTAAATAAAAATATTTGATAAATTAATAATAATGAATTATAATATTATTTTTTATTTTTTATATAATTAATAATATTTCTAATTTTAAAGTATATTTAATATATATATTATTCAAAAATTAATTTATATATATTAAAATATTTAAAAAATATATGCAATATTGATGTTATTTTGTAAGAAATAAAATTTTTTATAATATTTTTATTTATTTATAATTAATATAAATTAATTTTATAAAAGATGTATAGTTTTAAATATAGATAAAAATATTTTTTTTAAAAAAAGAGATATAAAAATATTTTTTTAAGAAAGAGATGTAAATATGTGATATTATATGTTATGTATTTAATTAAGTTGATTTATATTTGTTAAATATGTTTTGATTTAATAATTTTTACCCAAAATATGTATATTTGTTAAATATATTTTGATTTAATAAGTTTTACTCAAATTTTATATGACATACAAAAATAGAAATAGTGTCAATTGTGTGGTAGGACGGATGGAGTAGTAATTAAATATATTACTATCTTCCTCTCACTTGTTCATTCTTTCTATTTGTCTGTTTCACATAATTTGTCTTTTTTTTTTTTTAAATATAATTATATACTTTGATCATATTTTAAAATTCATAAATTATAATTTATTACTTTTTTTATAACATGAGAACCTTTTTTTTTAACTACATTATTTAATCATTTTAATTTTAATTTATAATTATTTTTATTAAATTATAATTATTTTTATTAATATATTTTTTAATTACTCGTTAATTACACAATCGTGCTTAAGCTAAATGAGACCAATTAGCTTGGACAGATAGGGTACTATTTTTTATAAAAATATATATAATTTGTTTGTTTAAATTAAGTCTATCTTTATTCAGTCTACAATTTCGATTGTTCCAATTATTTTTTCTTCTAAATAATTATTCATATTTATTTTGATTTTATTTTATTTTTTATTTTAATATTAATTAAATATATTACTATTTTATAAAAGTAATATATAATTTGTTTGTTTAAATTAAATTTATCCTTATTCAATCTATACAATTACGATTGTTCCAATTGTTTTTTCTTTTAAATATCAAATTAAAATAATATTTAATCAAAATTAAATTCAAACCAAAATCAAATAAATATTTATGAAAAAAAAAATATAGGTATTGTATACTTAAAAAAATAATGATAATTCATAGTTAACAAAGCTTTAAACTTAATTAATGTATACTTTATTTGTTACTTCAATCCAGAGATATTTTTTTTATATGCAATATGAAAAATTATTTAAATAATATAAAAATAATAAATATGTATAGTATATTAATATTTTTAAAAATATATATATTTTTTAAAAAATACAAATAGCACTCTCTTATTGTTTATACACTTATTATTATTATTATTATTATTATTATTATAATAAAATATTTAGGAGATAAAATGTAAGTGAATAAAAAGCAAAATAGCTTTAGACTCCCTTATGTACATTAAGGTAAGTATATACGTACTCTAAATTCTAAAAAATTAACAAAAAGTAAAATTCAAGTTAAGATTAAGTTTGATTTTTTAAACTTGAAGTAGAATCTGTTGCAGTAAAATAAAGAGTAAAAATCATTTTTAGTTTCATTCAATATTACAATTATCAATTTTGGTCCTATTTAAAAAAAATTATTAATTTTGGTTTCATTCAAATGAAAATTTATCAATTTTAGTCCCAAATCGATTGATTGGGACTGAACACGGTCGTATTGGCTTGAACACAGCCGTGTTAAATGAATCAGAAGGTGACGGGGCGTTCCAGGCAGTCAACACGGCCGTGTTGATTACCCTGCACTTCTGAACACGGCCGTGTTCCTGCCCGTGTTTCTGCCCATGTTCTGAACACAACCATGTTCCTGCCATGTTTTCAACACAGCTATGTTCATGCCCATGTTCTCAACACAGTCACGTTATAGGCCATGTTCACGACCATATTTTCAATATAATCATATTTTAGGTCATATTTATTATTATTTTTACTTTTTGGTTAAAATTATTTGATATAAATATATATATTTATAATTCAACAAAAATATTTTATGAAATAGTATAATTAGTAGATAATTAAAAATATATTAGTGAAAATAATTATCATATAATATAAATAATTATAGATTAAGATTAAAATAACTAATTAAAATTTAAAAAAAATTAAATTAAAAAATAGTGTGTAATTATTTTTCAAAAAATAAAAGTGATATGAGATGTAAGATGGACAGAAACGGCAATGTGGACATAGTAAGTGGGACGGAGGGAGTATTTATTAAAAATATATATTAATATATTATTGTTTTTATATTTTTTTAAATATTAAAAATCGATTATTTATTTATATTATGAAATAATTATAAAAAATATTTTTGTTGAATTATAAATATATATATTTATATCAAATAATTTTAACCAAAAAGTGAAAATAATAATAAATATGACCTATAATATAACTATATTAAAAACATGGTCGTGAACATGGCTAGAACATGGTTGTGTTGAAAACCTGGGCAGAAATATGACCTAGAACATGGCTGTGTTGAGAACATTGGCAGGAACTTGGCTGTGTTTCAGAACATAAACAGGAACACGGCCGTGTTCCGAATTGCAGGGTAATCAACACGGTCATATTGAGACCAACACGGCCGTGTTGGCTGTCTGGGACGTCCAGTCATATTCTGAGTCATTCAACAAGGCCATGTTCAAGCCAACATGGCCGTGTTCACGCCCAATCAACCGATTTGGGACTAAAATTGATAAATTTTCATCTGAATGAGACCAAAATTGATAATTTTTTTTGAATGAGACCAAAATTGATAATTGTGATATTGAATGGGACCAAAAATTGCTCTAATATAAAGTACAATAAAATCTTAGTAAAATAATCGATAATCCTCAAGGCGACTTCTTAATAATTTTAATGTGTTGAGATATTTTAAATATTCAGTTTTAGATTTAGTAGATTTATATCTAGATTTGATCTTATTCATAGATTAGATTACTTAGATTTAAGTCTATCGAGACTGTTTTGTATTGCCTATATACTGGCTCCTTATTTTGATGATCAATAAGATAATCTCATTATTTTCCCCCAAAGTTTATAACATGGTATCAGAGCCTACTTTTCTCATGCCGTAGATATAGCCTACGAACCCGTGTTTCTCCGGGTACATTCAACCTACATTGTACCCGGAGGTTTTGTGATTTTGAGATCTTTCTGTCATCCGCTGCTTGTCATTCGTTACTTGTCTGTCGTACAATCAGAAACCTGTCTGCTGCTTGTCTGTCGTACAATCAGAAACCTGTTTGCGATCTGCCATATATCCATCTGCCATATGTCCACTGCTTGTCTGATGTCTGCGTCCGATATGAAACCTGTCTGCGATCTGCTATCTGTTTGTTGTTTGCGTGCGATCTGAAACCTGTCTGCGATCTTCTTTCTGTCTGTGCTTGTCTATTGCATGCGTGCGATCTGTTTGGTGTTTCCTATCTATGTCGTTTTCTGCCCCTGTGGAGTCATGTCGTTTTTCGGCTCCGGTGGAGTCATCTTGTTTACGGCTCATTTTCAGCTCCGGTGGAGTTCTGTCGTTTTTTGCTCCAGTGGAGTCATATCGTTTTCGGCTCCAGTGGAGTCATCTCGTTTTCGGCTCCGGTGGAGTCATCTCGTTTTCGCCTCCGGTGGAGTTATGTGGTTTTTGGCTCCGGTGGAGTCATGTGGTTTTCGGATCAAGTAGAGTCATATTGCTTTCGGCTCCGGTGGAGTCATATTGTTTTCAGCTCCGGTGGAGTCATCTCGTTTTTTGCTCCGGTGGAGAGTATCTTGTTTTCAACTCTGGTGGAAAGTCATCTCGTGTTTTGCTCCGGTGGGTGGAGAGTCAACTGCTAATTTTATTTATATTTTCTTTTTGCGTTTATATTTAAATTTCTTATCAAACTCAAGTTGGTTTCTGTTATACCACTTGAGTTTGAGGGGATGTTGAGATATTTTAAATATTCAGTTTTAGATTTAGTAGATTTATATCTAGATTTGATCTTATTCATAGATTAGATTACTTAGATTTAAGTCTATCGAGTCTGTTTTGTATTGCCTATATGTAAGGTCCTTATTTTGATGATTAATAAGATAATCTCATTATTTTCCCCCAAAATTTATATCATAATGTATTCCAAATAATTAAAATCAGTACAATAAAATCTTAGTAAAATAATCGATAATCCTCAAGGCAACTTCTTATTAATTTTAATGTATTCAAAATAATTTAAAACATATAATCTTTGGGGGTTTAGTTAGGATGCACCATGCTTATGCCTTCAAAACTTAATAATTCTAATTTATATAATTAAAGAATATAATTATACATAATTATTTTCAGGGCATTACTCTAATTTCAGAGAGGTCCGTTTAGGATATTTACACATATATATAGCTATTTGATATTCGAATCGAATTAAGCAAATACCAAAATCGCCAACCGTATTCGAACTAAAAGTTTTGATTAATCGAATTTCGATTAATCGAAAATATTTGTAAATAATTCGAATCGAATTAAAATTAAAAAAAATACATTAAAATTTTAATTAAATAAAATATTTGCGAATATTCCGAACCAAAACCAAACCGTATATAATTATTAATATAAAACTTAAGATATAATAATATAAATATATATTCGATTCAATTAACCGAACCAAAAAATATCAAAAATTAAAATCGAGTCGAACCGAATAAATATCAAATATACAATATTTATATTCTAACCACGAACCAAATTTGATCGACCAACCGAAATTTCAGTTCGATATTTGCCCACCCCTACCCTAACTCACCCCAATATTTGGTCATTTAATGACTATGACTAATATCTTACAGTCAAAAAAATTTTTAAACCTTTCCTCAAATAACTTCTTTGGGATTAATAAATTTTCGGCAGTGTGTTGCAATTAAGGGCTGCACTTGCCATGTAGAATGGGGTGGGTTACCCCCGACCTGCCCCGGACCCGGTCTTCGTGGGACGGGTTTGGGTTTAAAATATTTGGTTCGGGACAGGTTGTGAATTTTGAGTTTTGAGTTTTAGACTCGGCCGGGTTCGGGGCAGATTACAAATTTTACTATAAATCCGCCACACTCCAAACTCGGATATTTTAATAATTATTATAATTTATTTATATTTTTATACAATATAAATTATATTATTTATTTGTTTTAAAAAAATTAAATATAAAATAGAACCTCAATTTTAAATCAAATTTATCTTCTCATTTGTTTCTCCTACAATTCTCTTTATAATCGGAACTACGGACTATCGTCAATATTTGATTGTTCTTATTTTTAGAATTATAATTTTTTAGTACTTTGACGCATACTTTTTTTAATATTAAATTATTTTTTAAAAATTTTATTTTATTATTTTCTTAAAAAATAAAGCGGATTTGTTGGATTGGCCCCGAACCCGAAAGGTTCGGAGCAGGACGGGTCATGGATCGGGTTAAAGTGGGACGGGCCGGTCTTGGGTCCTAATATTTTTTAGCGAGGCGAATCCCATGGCCTGCAAAACCCGTCCTGAACCCGCCCTGTTGACATCCCTAGCCGGTGCTTTAAAGCCTCAAAATCGGCGAACCTCATTCCCTATCACATAGATTTGGGTAGCTACAAAAAATATCAGACCATTCAAATGAATGCAGAAGCCAATCCATTTACCCAAAGAATTTTAATGGTGAATGTTAAATAATAATAAAAATGAAAAAAAATTGATATATTCAAGAAAAGTGAATGGTATAATTAAGTATATACAAATATAACTAAATGAACAAATCCGTGGTTGGGGGAAAAGAAAAAAAAAAACAATTTGTGTGTAATGGATGTTATACGTGATTTGAGGATTTAGGGAAATATTCAAACCATCATATTATTACCAACTTTCCTTCACAGTAACAATTCCCATAAGTAGTGTATAGTTAGTTTCCTTTCCCTTATGATGACGACTTACATGAATAGATAAGAGTTGGAGTCGAGTCGCATTTACAAATGCAAGCAAGAAGGTGCACGAGGAATGAATCTATCATGACTTGGGATCGGCCTTTACACATCGCGCTACATATGCCTGCACACCACAAACAAGGAATGCAACCAGCTAAATAGCAAACCATGATTAGATTACATTAGACTCGATTAGTTCGATAAATGAATGAATGGATTGGGATTTGGATTTGGATTTGGATTGATTACCTACCTGTACAAGTTTGTCGATTTTGGGTTTGGAATAGGATAGATAGTGGTCGACTTTATCCTGTGTCCTGGGGATGTGATCAGCTTGAATCGTGCTTGTTATTTTTTCAACCACTTTCTTCACAATAGTTTTGTGAACTTCTCTACTCATTTTGCCTTCCTTCCACGTCGGCTTCAGTAACTCCTTCACAAATTCTATAAGAGAATTTTTAAATGGGCGCATGATTTTGTCATCCTTGCCTGCTGCTGCACTCTTCTCTCCAACCCTCCCATGTCTATCCGACTCCATGTCCTTTTCGATTCCCTTGCTTTCATTATCATTGCTCTCACCGAGTTCCTTAGACGATTGCCCCATCTTCTTCATCTCATTAATGCCTCTGCCGATCTCTCTAAGACCAATTGGATCATGAGAAACTCCAGTTTGATTGAACTGCTGCAGACTAGCAAGGGGAGCATTACCCAAGGGATCGGGAGTTGGAGTGATGCCCCAAGAATTGGAGCCTTCTGCAAATGCATTCTTCCAGGGCTGTTGTTCATTCAGAGTTGCAGCAATAGCGGAGTTTGCCAACAGAGAAGAGGATTCATTTGTTACTGGATTGAGGACATGTGGTGGAATTTTATCAACAGCTTTTAGATGGTCCTCCCCACTCTCGGTTTTATTCAAAATTGAAAACTCCCCCGGAAACACATTTCCACTCTTCATATCGATACTACTCTGTGCTGAGAGTAGACTTGCCTGAGCACTAGTATTCATCAAGTTCCCCACCTCCCCAAGAACATTCGATGCAAGCGAAGTCAACAAATCATTTCCTACCACACTTTCAAGTTGCTGCTGAATTGAGACAGCTGAATAAATATTCTGTTGCTGTTGCTGAGCAATCATAGAAAAGTCATCCTGCACTATACTTTGTCCTTGAACCTTTGCATTTGCTTCCTGATTTTGCAAATGTGAAGCATGCAATATGAGACATCCCTGCTTGTCATCCACATGTTCCTTATCAATAGATTCAGCAGTCCCTATGTTTCGACCATGATCAGTCCACTCCGGTATTCCCTGACTTCTGTTCTTGTTTCCAGAACCATGGACACCGTCAGAGATTTTGGTTGCATTATTTGTATTGATCTTCTCATGTGAACCAAAGGCTCTAACCACTTTACCCAGCACGCCGTCTTCTAGGCTGCTATATTCGGGATGCTCATGAGAGAACTTGCAATTATGCCGATCACACTTTCCTGCAGCAAAATACTGACAAATTGCTATACCATTTTTTCCAGGTTTAAATTCAATGTCCTTGTTAAATCTTGTACTTTTTTTGAACTCTCCAGCATAAACTGAATGATGAGAAAACCTGCAAGTGTCTCCCCACCTACACTTACCCTTAATGAAGTCCTTGCAAGGAACACCAGTTCTAGTTTTGATCTGGGACTGCTCATTCTGCCCATGATAAGGATCAGAGGAATCATCCCGCAAAGCGGACTGAAAAACTTCGTTTAAAGGGTCTTTAAAACTTTGATTATTGTTTGCTGTCTGCCGCCAAGCTTCTCCTGTGGCGTCTCCTAAAAGGCCATCATCACCACAACTAACAATTTCAGAATGGCCAAATCTGCAGTCACTGCCCCTCCTGCACTTTCCAGCAGCAAAATCTCTACAAATCTGAGATGACTTATCAGTCACACTCCTATTGTCACTCCATCCATGAGATTGACGCCTATAATCTCCTATCGGACTACGACTTCTATATTTAACCCTTGTATTGCCATCACTTCTGCCAACACTCCTGCTCCTATCATCCCTTCCCCTGTCCTTGCTCAAGCTCCTACTCCGACTTCTGCCTCTAGTCCTGCTTCTGCTTCTGCTCGGACTCCTGCTCCCACCTCCTCCCATGTATCTATAATAAAGCATCAAACAACAAAATTAGCAACACCACATACAAAAACCCCCTACAAATAATGCAGGATTTTCTTAACCTCAGATAAAGCTAGAAGATGAAATAACAAACATTATCAGAGTGGAATCCTAGCATTTGTGCATTAGCAACTTGAATGGGAAGTTACAAAAGAGAACCCTGAACTCCATTGCAGAAAAAACCTTCAGCATCTGTAGTTGTATTTTCTTTTGCTGTAATGGCATTCATTTTTCCAGATTTGTAATGCTATTAAAATAAAATGAAATAAAATAATAAACAATTAATAATCAGACCTTTGAGAATGGCTTCGACCATTTCCAAGATCCTGATTGGATATATGCTGCTCAATAACATCAAATCCAGGAGACATGTCCTGGTCATTCGTGTTTTGCCCTCCAAATTCCTCTCCTCCGTGAGTATCTTGTCTACTGTTGGCAAAGTTTCCATGTGTTGGAGCAACTGGGATTTCTTCAGTTGCTTTACCAGAAAGCTGTCCAAGCTGATCTCTAGATTCCACAGATGCAATGGTTCCAGATGAAGAATATTCGTGATACGAGCCACTCTCATGACAAGAATGATGGTCCTTTCCTGTCCAAGAATTACGTTCACTCACGCCAGAAAATTGTTTGGTTGCATCTTCCTGATCCCAAAGTGATTTACGTTTTCTCCTTTCACCCATCAATAACCTTATTAGAACAGATCTTCAGCACTTAAATTTGCTCGTGCAATGGAATCTGCACAAAGCAGCAATAGGTAAATTAGCACTAATTGCAGATTTTCGGTGACAAAGATCTTAGAGCATAAGCCACCCACTGCTAAAGGCTGAAAATTAGATGATGTTATTATTGATTAATACATATTAATCAGAGACTTAGACAAGATGCAACGATAGAGGGCAATTGCAGGACATTCTTGAACAGGTCTTAACCGCCCTGCAGCCCTGTGCTAACCTCTCCAACCATCCTTCTTTTATTTTTTTCAATATAATTTGACCATAAATTTAATACAGTACTACAGTATCATAATACCCAGACAAACAAAATGTGGTTGAAATAATGAAAATAAGGGCAATATACATGTAACTTACAGTTGGATTCATTATTTGTTGGTTCAATAGGATTAGGAGAAAGTCAATTGCCACACAAATACCACCACAAAACTGAATTAAGATATTTCCATTGTAGCAACAGACCTTTGTTCAGCCCAAAGTGTAAGAAATATTCAGCAAAGAACATTATAAAGCACAAGCTGCACATAGCAAATCCTTTTTTAAGAAAGTTGATGACTCTCAGATGGAATCAGGTACAGACAAGTAATGCCAGTATTCTTTCAGAAAAATGAAACAAATTCATATTATCACCACATAGAGCACAACCAAGCTAAGAAAGAAGCGATAAAAAATAATAAAAGGTAAATTATATAATACCCTTTGTGTTTTAGTAAAAATGTACAAAATATCTCGAATTTCATTTATTGCATAAAATCCCTTTGTGTGAAATTAAGATATACACAAAATACCATCTTCATCCAAAACTGATGTTTTGTTGTAAAATCACACCTAATTATGAATTTTTATACAAATAAGAAAGGTAAGATATCTTAAATAATATTTTTAAATAAAATGAATAACTAAATTATTTATCAACCATTCATTTAATAGTTTTCTTAGATGAACTATTATCTAATTCTTACAAAAATTATACAATGAAAAATTGATCATTTATTTATTTATTTTATTCAAATAAGTCTATTTAAAATATAACCTCTGTTATTTATATAAAACTTATATAATTAGGTACGTGTTTACACTCAAAACATCAGTTTTGGACAAAGAGCTTGTTTTGTTTATACTTTAATATAACACAAGGAGTTTAACGCAATAAATAAAATATAAAGTGCTTTGTCCATTTATACTAGAACACAAGGGGATGTTATGAAATTTACCCAATAATAAATAAATGACAACTCTTCCATTTAACAGAAATTCTTTTAACCAACATGTATGTACTTCACATACTAATATATAATGCAACAATTTGCAGCAATGTTAAAACATACATAAAATTGCAGTCATGTAGTCTTCCCTTATGATAGGTTTTATATACTTCATGAGACATGGTAACTTTTAAAGTCTGATACCTAAGGAATATTTTGTGAGATGCCAATATTGATAATAGGTTTGCCTCAACAGAACTTACCACGAAAGGCAGCGAATCAACTATCACCCATACTCCAACATGCATCTATTGTCATAGCACACCTTCCTCAGTCTAGTTAGAGCACAACTTCTATACAAATTTTTACAAGAATCATGACATGAGTCAAGTCATTTTAGGGTGTGTTTGTTTGGGGGTTTGGATTTTGAGTTGGGATTTGAATAGTAAAAATTTTGAATTTGAAAAGTTGTATGATGTGATATAAATAGGTGTTGATGTGATGTTTTGAATGTAAAATTAATTTTTAGTATAATATAAAAAATAAAAAATAGGTGTTTGATTTGATGTTTTTTGGGAAAAAAAAATTGGATGAATAGTGTAAATCCAATCCAAACCCCCAAACAAACACACCCTAAATTAATTACACAATTTTTATCTATAAAAAAACAGAAAATTCAAAAAACATGTATGCCTATAACATCCCCAAAGTATTAGGAGAATGGTGAAAAAAATGAACGGCACATTGAAGTGATGAGAGAATTAAAGAACAACCCATCCACTTCTATCTTGTTGTAACATTCACTCACCGTTGTACACTTCAGTATCTAGCAATCGGTGAAAAGCTTGGGCTCTGTTTACTTGGACTTTTTAGTTTGTTCTTGCAGTACTTATAAATATATATATTTATAAGAAAAAAATTCTCCCTAGAAAGAGAACACACATTTAAAACCAAAGTTTCATTCAAAATATTACGTCAAAATCCTTTTTTTCTATTTGAAACATCACATCAAAGACCTATACATATTTCACATCAAGCACCTTTTAACTCTTAGCATTTCCAAACCAATATAATACTCTAATATACTTTAAAAATATATATGTAAATGCACCCTGGTATCTGACCTAAATCCAAGAAATAAGTTCAGATTGAGAAAATCAGCAAAATTAGCATCTTACTTCCATTATCAACCAATATGGCTAGAACCAAACTGCAGATAATATAGCAAGACTTGAAGATAGTCACAAGTTGGAGGAACCCGCCACCTAAACACCTAGAATATAAAAGAAAAAATCGATCAAAAGAGCGCAGCAGTTACGAGCAAGCATCACTTCATTATTAGATTCAACGAAATTGTTGATGCTCGACCCGTTCAAACCATCTATCAGGCAGTCTTTATACACAAGTTTGATGAAGCACTAACAGGAAACAACACTTAATTCAATTCCGCATCTGGCTTGAAATCCTAGAGCACTCCATAATCTAAAATTTCCTACACTCATCAACAGAAAACACAATTACAAATTAGAACCCAATTCAGCAACCTATGTACAGAATTTCAAGAAACCCTAATTAATTAAGCAAAAGAACGAAGAAAAAATACCTTTGGATCAATAAACCACCGACGCGAGACGGCAGATGACTCCAAAAAAGACCTCCTAGGTCGAATTCAGGTGGGAAATGACTCAATTGAAGTCGTAGATCACTTGGATCTTTAGCTATATTGATTGCATATGAAAGATTTGGTTAATGATGAAAGAGTGAAACCAAACCACTCATAAGTTTTCTTTCTGGTCGCATTTACAGCCATTTTTTATTAAATCCAAACTAATAAGAGAATTCATTTTCTTGAAATAAATAGATAATAATACTTTATCAGACAGTTAATTATAGAGATTAAACCATAGTAATAATAATAATAATAATAATAATAATATAATTATAATATATTTTTACAGGAAAAAATCAATACCGGTCTCAAATCTCAATATATAATTCTATTTGTTATATATATACATTGAAATTTCCAATAATGTTTTTATTAAATAATAAAAATATATTAATTTTTTTAAAAATAATTAAAAATATTTTTATAATTTTTAATAACTAATAATAAAAAATTCACTTTTCCTAAAATGTTAAGAAAAAATTAATAAAAATATATATATATTTTTTTTTATTTAGGAATTTTCGACCATTTTTAAGTCTTCCGATGCTTGATACAACAATTATTTTTAAAATATACTTAATGCAAAAAAGCAATATGTGTAAATAATTTAATTTTACAATGAGACACTAATACTTTAATTTTACAATAAGTCACTTCTTATTTATACTAGTTGATATCTTTATAAGATGATGTAAATTGATTCAATAGGAGTAATTCTCTGCATAATATTTTAGAGGCTATTTTAGAATTATGTAATATTAATTGAATCTAATTCAAAACTAATGGAGTGTATTAAATCACAATTTTGTATGATTTTGTTGAATTTTTAAAATTTGGATGTATTCAATCTAAATTTTTAAAAGTGTTTTAAAATTGTAGTATTCAACACTCCATAAACTTTTAACCTTTAAAGTTTATGAATTTTGTTGGATTTTAATAGACAATTATCAAAAATTTATACCCTACAAAATCTCTCATGATAAAAAAAAAAGATTATGATGGATTATTATTATTATTATTATTATTATTGTTGTTGTTGATGATGATTTATAAATTATAAATAATATGATAATATTTACTAATAATATTATACTCCCTCCTTCCCATAAACAAATATTCATTTGTTTTTTGCACGTAATTTTAAAAATATTAATATTATATTGGAATATAAGTAGGAATAATGTGAAAATGACTAAAATAACCTTTGTTATAAAGGTAATGACATTTGTGTAATATATTACTAGAAAAAAGGAAATGGATACTTTGTTATGCGACGAACTAAAATGGAAAAATGGATACTTTGTTATGGGACGAAGGAAATAAATATTTAATAAATTTATTTTTTAAAACTAAAATATATTAACAAATTATTATTTTTTTTTAAAAAAATATGTATTTTTATATTATACATATAATATTTTAAAAAATACTATTATCATAATAAATATACTTAACAAAATTATATAAATAAGAATAATAATAATCATAATAATAATAAGTAATAAATAAATATAAAAATAAATGGATATATTGAAAAATAATATAACAAAAATTATAAAATTAAAAATATTAATATACAAAATAATAGATTATATATATTACAATATTTCTAGCGTGCCCACTTATCATTTCTTTTTGTCAGCCATACTGTGCACTTTTTATTGATTTTTTCAACTGAAACCAAAATTATTCATAAAATGACTAAAATTGATAGAAAAAAAAATATTATATTGAAGTCAAATTAATACATTTTGATCATATTAAGACTGGAATTGATTTTATTTATTTTAAAATTGTAATAGTAAATAAGAAGGAATAAATTTGACCGAAAAAAACAATAGTATATAAAAACAAAATATTTAAATCACCAAAAAATAAATAAAATGGTCAACAACCAAAAGAAGCCCATTTTTTAAATGAAAACAAAATCACTTATTAGGTCGCAGGCAACAGGAAATGCCAAACATAACATGAAAATCCATCAAAAAAGAGAAGTGAAAAAAACAAAACCACCGTAAGAACTTACTGCAACTAGACAACTGATTGCAGAGGTTTGCTGCTTTCAGCTGCCGTCTCCGAACTGAAGTAATCCTGAAGAGCCGACATCTCAATCTTGTTGCACTTCAGGCTCTTTATCGCATCAGCTGTGGCCAGAGCCCCTGCAACTGTAGTAATAACAGGTATTTTGTAAGCAAGAGCCATTCTCCGGAGCTTCCGTCCGTCGATCTGGTCGAGCTGGTCGCCGGAGCTTGTAACCACCATCATCTGAATCTGCCTATTGGCAATCATGTCACCAGCATGGGGCCGCCCTTCGTGCATCTTCAGCACCCGCTCAACGGGGATACCTTCTGATTCAAGAACATGGGCTGTCCCGGATGTCGCCACAAGGTTGAATCCGAGGCTGAGGAAGGCTCGGGCAATGGGAGGGAGCTGGGGCTTCGTCAGGTCGTTTAAGCTGAGGAAGACAGTTCCTGTCATAGGCGGCTTTTGTCCCGCGGCGATTTGGGCTTTCGCAAATGCAATTGAGGACTCGTAGTATATCCCCATGACTTCACCTGTACTGCGCATTTCGGGTCCTAGGAGAACATCGGCCCCTTGGAATTTCTCGAATGGGAGAACGGCTTCTTTCACAGATACATGTCTTGGGATGACTTCTTTGGTGAAGTTGAGATCATGAAGGGACTTTCCGGACATGACGAGCGCTGCGTATTTCGCTAGGGGATGACCGATCGCCTTGGACACAAATGGGACTGTCCGGGAGGCGCGTGGGTTGGCCTCTAGTAAGAACACATCGCCGGAAGCTGTGATTGCGTATTGGCAATTCATCAAACCACAAACATTCAGCCTCTTAGCCAATTTTGTTGTCCATGACCTGATGGTTTCCAGGCTTGTAGATGATACTGTTTTGGTGGGTAGCATGCATGCCGAATCACCAGAATGGACACCAGCTTGTTCGATGTGTTCCATTATTCCGCCAATCACTACATTGCCGTGTGGATCAGCAAGTGCGTCAATGTCGATCTCGATGGCATCAGATAAGTATTTGTCGACTAAAACAGGGCGATCTGGATCCACTTCTACTGCAGTTTCAAGGTAAGTCACAAGCTTCTCGTCGCTGTAAACAATCTCCATTGCCCGGCCACCTAAAACATAGGAAGGCCGAACAACAACAGGGTACCCTATTTCAGCTGCAATAGCAAGAGCATCTTCTTCACTCTTTGCAATTCCTCCTTTTGGCTGCTCAATCTGTAACTCTGTCAAGATGGCATTGAACCGCTCCCTATCCTCAGCAGCATCAATGGAATCCGGGGATGTGCCCCAGATTCGAACATATCCAGAACCACTGGCACTCTTGGGCTTCTGCTCATCCAAATACTGCTGAATAGGGAGAGATAACTTTAGGGGAGTCTGCCCTCCAAACTGCACAATAATTCCATCGGGTGCTTCCAAGTCAATGACGTTCAGGACATCCTCCACCGTGAGAGGTTCAAAGTAGAGGCGATCACTAGTGTCATAATCAGTCGATACTGTTTCAGGATTGGAATTCATCATTATCGTTTCATAGCCTGCATCCTGCAAAAACTTAAGAACTTCAGAACTATAACAATCAATGGAAAATGAAAGGACTAACTAATTTTGTTACAGGCGTAAGTAGTGATGGTAACCTGCCAATACAATAAATAAAACACAAACCTGAAGGGCAAAAGATGTGTGGCAGCAGCAATAATCAAACTCAATACCCTGCCCAATTCGATTTGGCCCTCCTCCCAAAATCAACACTTTTTTCCTGTTAGTCGGAGCAGATTCACACTCAAACTCATACGATGAATACATGTATGGGGTGTTGGCTTCAAATTCGGCTGCACATGTGTCAACTCTTTTATAGGATGGTTTTATTCCCAAAGACAAGCGCTTCAATCGAACTTCTTCCTCAGAGGATTTTGTAGCAAACGCTATCTGCTTATCACTGAATCCTCTCCTCTTGACTTCCCATAAGTCATCCTTTGTCAGCTGGGACAAATTCTGCGCCAAGAGATATTGTTCCACGTCCACAAGTTCTTTAAGCTGAGTGAGGAACCACTTATCCACAAAACTCAATTCGTGTATATCATCTACCTTCATCCCACGCTTCAGTGCAGCATATATAGAATGGATACGATCTGGACTTGGTACCCGGAGGTTGTATTTCAACTGTTCCCAGTCCCAGTCAAGTTCCTTGATCTGTGCACAACCCCATCCAGAGTATCCAGATTCCAATGACCGCACTGCTTTTTGGAATGATTCTTGAAACGTTCTGCCAACAGCCATAGCTTCACCAACAGATTTCATCTGGGTAGTCAGAATTGGTTCCGAGCCCGGAAACTTCTCAAAGGCAAACCTGGGTATCTGTACACAGACAGAACATATGATATCATAAGAAAATAGAAGAAGATAAACTAGGAAATGAACAGGACACTAACAATATGGAAAAATGAATATAACCTTTGTCACAACATAATCTATGGAAGGCTCAAAACTTGCTGGAGTCTTCTTTGTAATATCATTAGGAATCTGATCCAATGAATAACCCACTGATAACTTAGCAGCCATCTTGGCAATTGGGAAACCAGTTGCTTTGGAGGCCAAAGCAGATGATCTCGAAACTCGGGGATTCATCTCTATCACCATCACTTCTCCATCTTCAGGATTAACAGCAAATTGAACATTAGAACCACCACATTCAACTCCAATTTCCCTGATAATTGCAATAGAGTAATCTCTGAGCCGTTGGTACTCCTTATCTGTCAATGTCTGGGCTGGAGCAACTGTGATAGAGTCCCCAGTGTGGATTCCCATAGGATCTATATTCTCAATCGAGCAGATAATAACCACATTGTCAGCCAAGTCCCTCATAACCTCAAGCTCATACTCTTTCCATCCTAGCAAAGACTTCTCCACCAAAACCTGAGTCGTAACACTAGCCGCAAGTCCTGACTTACAAATGGCTTCAAACTCCTCCCTGTTGTAAGCAATCCCACCTCCGGTCCCTCCCAACGTGAATGCTGGCCTGATAATCAACGGGAACTCCCCAATAGAATTGGCAATATCAAAACACTCGTCCAACGTTGTCCCAATCCCAGAAGGAGGCGTCTTGAGCCCAATGTTCCTCATTGCCTGCTTGAACAAATCCCTATCCTCGGCCTTTTTTATAGCATCAAGCTTTGCTCCAATCAACTCTACTCCATACTTCTCAAGCGCACCACTCTCTGCCAGTGCTACAGCAAGATTTAGTGCGGTCTGCCCACCCATTGTAGGCAACAAAGCATCGGGCCTCTCTTTCTCAATAACTTGCTCAACTAACTCCGGAGTCATCGGCTCAATATAAGTCCTGTCTGCCATCTCAGGATCAGTCATTATAGTAGCTGGATTAGAGTTAATCAGAATCACCTCATACCCCTCCTCTCTAAGGGCTTTGCAAGCCTGAGTGCCCGAATAGTCAAACTCACAAGCCTGCCCTATAACAATAGGTCCAGCTCCCAATATCAAGATCTTCTTTATATCAGTTCTTTTCCCAACTTCGGATGATATAAAACTAAAACCCCCTCCATCAGCCAAATCACCACTTTTCTGAACATTTCCTCGCTCATTTCCAGCTTTCACACAATTCAATATCACCGGCAAGCGGACGTTGTTCAAATTCCTTTTTGAAACTAATTTTCGTTGCGCGAAATAGCTCGGAAAAGGCCTCACTTTAGGCAAATATTGATTCGTTTGAACAAACTTACATAATGCATTACTGCAGTGATACAAAGTGTGACTCATTCCGGCTCTCTTTCCTTAAATTTCCTACCAAAAAAACAAACGCGCGTTGATACCGTGGACAGCAATCCACCACTTTCAACAACAAAAAAATGTTTTCACACACGGAAAAGCGAAAAGAACAAACCGTACCAGGCGTCCAGAAGACAGGCAGTGTAACCGAATCGAAAAACACCTCGCACCGGAGCTGATTTCGAACAGTTCTCCCAAAAACTGCACTCCCAAAACAAAAGAACCCCCAGAGAACGTCTGAATGTGATACTAAGGGGATGAGGAGCGTCGATGATCAGCGACCGTTGTGACTATCTCTGGGACAGGAAGGAAGAGGCGATGCGATGCTGCGCAGCCGTCAAGGGTTTTATTGGAAGGGTTTCTTTGCCTGTTTTCGTTCAAAATATAAAATGTAAAAATAATTCAACATTAATACCAACCACTGTTGTGTACCGTTTCGCATCGATCGGTAATACTACGTAAATTTGGTGACGAAACTGTCTTGCCACGTGTTTGACCACATTAATTAATAGTAATTATAATAAATTATCGTATAGTTTTGCTTTCCATTTTTTAAACAAGACTTTGGATGTGGCCCAAAAAATTAATAATAATAATAATTATTATAAATCATTTTACGTTTAGATTATTGATTAAAATTGAGGTTAGCTGTTATTATAATATAATATATTTATTTTAGAACAGTAAAAGATATCTTTATTTTCGAAGATTAATAATTATATTTTATTTATTAGAGTTTCTCCAACCCACTCTATTGTACTAAAAAAAAGGGGATTTGGGGATGAGTTGAAAATACGTGTGTAATTTTAATTTTTCATGATATATAATTTTATATTTTAAAAAATTGTATGTAATTTTATTTTTTTTGAAAAATAATGTATATTTTTATTTTTTTTAGTGAGAGTATAATTTTAGTTTTTGGAAAATAATATATAATTTTGTTTTTTTAAAAAATAATTTATAATTTTATTTTTTAAATCAATATATAATTTTACTTTTTGAAAAGTGATATAATTTTTATTTTTTTTTTAAAATAATATTTTATTTTATTTTTTAAAAGTGAAATGTAATTTTATTTTTTAAAAGTGATGTATAATTATATTTTTTCGAAAGTGATATGTAATTTTATTTTTTAAATTAACTTGCAATTTTACTTTGTAAAGATTTATGTTTAATTTTTTATTTTAAAATTAATTATTTTATATATTTTCCACAAAAAAATGTATAATATGTATGTATAATTATTAAAAAACGATACATTTGTATTTAAATTTAAATTTATTTAAACTTGAAAATAATATATGTTATAAAATTATTTAGCAAATAAAATTAAAATACAAAAGCACGTTGCATAGGATGCAAATTACATAAAATATTACATTGATAGAATTCAAATTACATAAAACAAATTGCATAAAAAAAAAATAAAAAAAACTACATTGATAAAATACAATTGCATAAAATATTAAAATACATTGATTAAATGCGGAGGAATATCAGCATTTTCATCTCCACCAATGTCACTAAAATATTGAAAAAAGTATATTCGAAAAAGACTATGGATTTGATCTCTGAAATTTCATTGTTCTTTTATATAAACTTTCATCTTTCTTGAGCCAGTAATAAGCACGCTGAGCAAGATTAGAAATAGCATTCAAGTCCATATTCATAATTTTTTTCTCGCGTGCCATTTTCTTAAATGCTAATTTCTCTTGTTCCAGTTGCAAAAATTTTTGTCTATGCAAATTTGATTTTTGTAGTATTTCCAGAACCATTAAATTTCGCTCTTTAACTTCATTAACATGAGCATCTTCTTGATCTTTATTTTTTTTCTGTTGTTTTGCTTTTTTCACCCTCCATGGGGCGCTCATATGAAGACCCACCAACATTATAATTTAAATTTAATCTATTTTCATCATCGTCTAAGTTAACAGAAAATAATGAATTTTTAGGAGATTCAAAAGCAATTGTCAGATATATTTTGGCCCAACCCAATACTAAGCTCAACCCGCAACCCGCAACCCAAAACCCTTTAACTTGACCCGACTCGACCCGACCCGCACCTTATAACTCCTCCTTCCACCCCATTCTCATTTTTGACAGTGTATTGCGTGATTTGGGAGTCTGGGTTTTCCTCTCCTCTGGTTCATCTTCTTCGTGTTCTTCTCGGTAAGTTCGGGGGTTTTCTTCTTTGCCGAAATTGTAGTCGCTCTAGTTTGATTCCTTCGATAAGTTGTTCATCTTGGTGTTCTTTGTGAGGTTTTGGGGGAAATCGGTCGATTATTGTTTAGGGTTGATCGAGTCCGTTGGTTTGGGGTTTTGTTTGGAGGCGGTTGGGTTAGTCCATAAGTGTGAGTCATTAGGTTGTAGATTGAGCCGTAAAAATAGATTCCCCTATCGTTTGTCAAATCGCTGGAAGAAGAAGTCGCCGGAGCTGCGGCGCGTGACTGGGTGTGTTCGCCGGAAGGTCGAAAGAGGGAAGTTCGAGTTCTGCCTTCATATCTTTTGCCTAATCTTAGATTCTGTTTGTTTGTGTTCTGTAAATTTGATTTATTGCCTCTTTTACTATCAATTTTGTTGGACACATTCTAATTGATGTTTTCTTTGTTGCTTGACAAATTACGTATATAAAAACACAACAATGGTATCAGAGCCAAATCTGTCAAACCATTAAGTTCGGCAGAATCTTCGGGTAAATCGATCATTGGTAATAGATCGATTTTGGTAAAAGGCTAAACTCTTCCTTTTTTAAATTCTCGGTAAATCTGCTGATTGCAGATTAGATTAGGATTTTGGTGAATCTGCTGATTGCAGAGATTAATTGGTTAATCTTGGAAATCTTGTTTTCTTTGATGCTCTAGATTGTTGTTGTTGCAAATCTTGTGATTGATTGGTAATTAATTGCTTGGATTGTGATTTTTTAGTGATATAATTTGTGGACAAATTTTTTCTTTAAATGACTGCTCATATGAGTACTTTTTATAATATGCAGCCATTTGACGGGAAAATAGATTTTACTATTTGGAAACAAAGAATGAAAAGTGTTTTAATTACTTAAAAACTTTCTCGAGCAATTGATGGTATGTTTGATGATGATACACCTATGGAAAAACGTGTTGAAATGGATGAATGTGCATGTGCGTGTATTGTGTTGCATTTAACTGACAATGTGCTTAGGAAAGTAGGTATGTTTTTTAGTGCAAAACAATTGTTGGAGAGGTTGGATGTTTGTACACGGAAGTAACTTTGTCAAATAAGTTGTTTTTGCTTGAAAAATTTTTCCAATTCAAACTTGACACCAAGAAGAGTGTTGATGAGAATATAGATGTTTTTACTAAACTAATTCAAGATATAAAGTTGAGTGGAGATCAATATATTGATGAATATTCTCCGATTGTGCTTTTAAATGCCATTCCCGATTCCTATAGTGATGTTAAATCTGCAATTAAATATGATAGAGATAACATTACTTTAGATATAGTAATAAATGGTTTAAAAAGCAATGAATTAGATTTAGTAGCTAATAAATCAATTGGAAATTCAAGTGGTGAAGTTTTGCATGTAAAGATAGAGTTTTCAATAGGAATAATCAAAACAACAACAATAGAGATAATCAGTCATCGAATAACAATAAAAAGAAATATAGAGAAAAGAATTATAAATCATTGCCTAGGAAATGTTATGGTTGTGGTAGAGTAGGTCATTATATTAAAGAGTGTCCTAATGTTGCTAATAAAGGTCAAGTAAATAACACAAAATCAAATAATTGAATCCAATGATCAATCAAATATGACTTTGTGTAGTGAACCTTTAGGTGATGTATATTGATTGAGTTTTAATTGTTCTTTTCTTGCCTTTAGTATGTGAATATTTGTGAAATGATAACTCTTTGGAAAATTGACATTTCGGTTTTTTTTTTTTTTTTGTGTGTGTGAAAACAGGTGTTGGAAGTTTTGTAACAAGTAAGATTCATAGCAGTTTTTTTTAGAAAAAAAATAAATAAATAAAACATGTGCAGATTTTTTTGCTGTTAAATAATTCTGTGCAGAATTTTTTTTATATATATATAAAACAGTATTGCTGTTTTCTTTCTTTGGTGTAAAAAAAAAAGAATCATTCCTGAGTTCCGTTGTTCCTTGTCTAAATGTATGTGTTTTGTTTTCTTGTATATCAATTGTGAATAACACGGATTTTTGTTTTCTAGGTGGAGTAAATCAACTCTTGCTATTGTGATTTGTTTTTGTTGGTTGTCTTTGTGTTTTGTACTTTGTGAGTTGTGTGTTCTAGACTAAGTGAACAATCTAGATTGTTAATTTTCCGGGAATATCTGAGTGTATGTCTAACTGCATGTTAGTTTGCTAAGCTTTGTGATAGAGTTTGCTTAGACTTTATGATATATTTTGTTTCTCTTTGTGATAATGTGAGCAAACCTATATTCTTAGCTACTTTGTGATCGACATCGAATTTCTTGGTGTGATATATGCTTGTCTTTGTGTTTCTATGTGTTCAAGCATATTAAAAGGATCCTTTAGTATAAGCGTTCGCTATGTCTTTCTTTGTGGTGTCATGATATATATATACTTTGTGATTAGTTTTAAGGTGGAGTTCGCATGTTACGGTTTTTTGCGTTGAGTTGTCCCTTTTTTGAATGAGCTATTAGTTTCTGCAGGACTAATGTTTGCTTGTGAGTATAGGGTTACTTAACGTTTATTGTGAGTGCAGGTTCATTGTGTATGGGTGAATCTTCTCTGGAAATTTCCATGCGACTTGATTAGGCAAAAAGGGTCACTAGGCTGTGATGCATCCCTAGAGCAACCATCGGTAAATAACTTGGCCAAAAAGGTGGAGAATGTTAGATATATTTTGGCCCAACCCAATACCAAGCCCAACCCGCAACCCGCAACCCAAAACCCTTTAACCCGACCCGACTCGACCCGACCCGCACCTTATAACTCCTCCTTCCACCCCATTCTCATTCGTGACAGTGTATTGCGTGATTGGGAGTCTGGGTTTTCCTCTTCTCTGGTTCATCTTCTTCGCGTTCTTCTCGGTAAGTTCGGGGGTTTTCTTCTTTGCCGAAATTGCAGTCGCTCTAGTTCGATTCCTTCGGTAAGTTGTTCATCTTGGCGTTCTTTGTGAGGTTTCGGGGGAAATCGGTCGATTATTGTTTAGGGTTGATCGAGTCCGTTGGTTTGGGGTTTTGTTTGGAGGCGGTTGGGTTAGTCCCTAAGTGTGAGTCATTAGGTTGTAGACTGAGCTGTAAAAATAGATTCCCCTATCGTTTGTCAAACCGCCGGAAGAAGAAGTCGCCGGAGCTGCGGCGCGTGACTGGGTGTGTTCGCCGGAAGGTCGAAAGAAGGAAGTTCGAGTTCTGCCTTCATATCTTTTG